CGCGCAATCAAACTCTCAATTGTTTGGAAGTCAGTCAAAGTGAGAAGTAAAGAAGAAATTTCTCGTTTATTGCCTGGTTCATTTTCAACTGCATTGTTTCGGTTCCTGCTTGACTTGATTTGCCATCAAAGTTTCGTGGTATGCTTTGAAGCGTACAAGCCAAGTTCTGTCAGAAATTTCGTTTAAAAGCGGTAAAACTTGTCGTTTTAATTTGGCGACATTTTTAAGCATTTTTAGAGTTTAATGCAAATCCTCATTACTCTTGCTTGTATGCTAGATCTGAAACTGAATTAATTTTATTAAAAATTTGCTGTTTTCCTAAATTTAATTTCGGTATAAGAACGAATACATATTATTATACAAACATATTAAGATCCGCTTTGTATCAGGGTTCGAAAAAAGTTTTAGTTAAAAGCACCGTTTTAATTAGTTTATGTTGATAAATGAATAACTTGTTTTTTTTTTTATCGGAATTTTAGGGATATTGGTTCTCCATCCCAACCACCTTAGATGCTACTAGTTTAGCCGCGGCTTACATAAATCAATCATTAATTACTGAGTGCTGAGTTTGACAAGCATTTAGTCTGAGCTCAAAGCGCCGTAAAAAGCTAGCTGGTTTGGTAAAAAAATGTGTGTATTTTGGAACCATTTTCATTAACTTACTGGGTTGTTATTGCAGAGTCCACGGTACTCACACTACTCTGAATTTAGTTTAGGGATAAATGAAATCTGAATGTAAAATATTTATGTTTTCATAGCTTGGACAGGCCATGATGGTTTTGTGGTCGTAATGTCACAGGACTATAACTGATCATCAAATAACACGAATTTGCTAAGGTACTAAGGAAGTGTAATCGAAGCATAAAAAAGGACATATGCACTTTAAAACATTTTAAGGTGGGCACTGTACCGCCTTCTTAAAAGTTTAATATACATATACTATATACAAGTAAAGCTTTAACGATCAAACTTGCTGAGGACAAGTCATTCTAGCTTCTACACATGTAGGGTGAAAATAAATAAAATCAGCTGATAACCACGCCCATCTACCTTGCAGAAGCTAAAAGCACGATACCTTACTAAATAAAATGTTAAAAGGGCGATGTGACACTAAGTAAATACTGAAGAACTAAATTCCTTAGCTAAGATGGTAGGTAAGGATGTAAAAATTGCTTAATAGGTGACACCGCTCGCCTTTAGGTGAAGTCTTCACATATCACAGGAGCTACTCGACCAATTTCATCTAAATTATTGGCTAACATTATCTTAGTATTCTAATGTTTCATTGTGAAAATGGTGATAAAACCATGTTTTTTTCCCATATATCACATTTTTAGAGTCTACATGCTTATTTTACTTTACAGAATATAAATCAAGCAATATTCGGAATAACACTTTGCGCTAATAGCCCCGCGTATTAAAATTGTCGAAATCGAACCATAATTTTTCAAGCACTTTGACACGGAATATGTTGTTCTCTTTTTAACGAAAATGTCGTCTAACCTGTGGGAAATATTTTTAAAACTCAGAGAGAATCTTTGTTTCAAAAATGGGTAAAATAGGGTCAATACTTCCCCTAGTCCTACCCAGCATAAATATTTCAAAACTTCCGATTGCCTTTACACCGTATATATCGGTTTATATTATATATTAGATATATTATCTATACAAGCAAAAGTATAACATTCCATATACAAAAGTTTAATACCGAAACTGTATGAAGTTGGTCTTCGAGTTACCTATGACCCATGTACTACATATTATGATATCTTTTTATTTTTATTTCTTTTATGTTGATAAATATGTGTTAAATTTCAATTTCCCCCATTTGTGTACAAAATATTGGGTTACAACCGATCAAAGTGCTTCCTTACTTGTTGCGTTTGAATGAATACATGAATAAGTATTATTCAAACATGAAATTATTAGTAGCGATTGTTGTAGTAAATTCAATTTCGAAATTTGAAGGCAAGTATTTCAAGTTTGGACGATTTTGGAGAAATACATGTTCCACTTAGGACTCAATCTATCGAAAAAACTCTGCCAATACTTGTTCAATACTATCTCCTTTCGGTTTGTCATTTTGCTCACATAATTATTTAAAATTATTTTCATTAATTTACAACTTAAATGTTTCCATTGTGTAATATATTTGTATTGTACATAAAACTATAAACCTATGAAGAAAACAGGAAGAAGAAATTAAATGCAAAGACAAGCAAATTCTCCAAAAAGCGCTAATTTAATTTCAATTCATGTCTGCCGATAAGAAATAAAATGAATAGCATAACTACCCAACATAGCCTTTGCCTTGAGCAACTAAAAATTATAAATTATAAATTATAATTATAATAGGACTAATGCGCAAGCTTTGCTACTTAACTGTTTATATAATATATGTGAACATCTGGTTCATATAAGTAGTATAGTATGTGTGCATAATTCCTTTAAGAAGACATGCTTATACGGCTACATATGCTGATAGGATAGCTTATATGAATACAATTATTTGACGCACATCTGTTCAACATAGTAAACAGTTCCTCGACCGCCTCAAAGTATGCCACACTTGATGGTCATACAACGCTGTGGTGTTGCCATATTTTCAAATTACAGTGCCACAATGCTCACTTGCATAATTCACTGCGTCATACCTGTTTTCCTTTCGCCTGTGTGACTTACCAAATCCGTTTTGTGTTAATATATTTGCTTGACACACTAAAGGTGTGCTGGCTTAAGAGATTTACTCACACCCTACAACTGAGAAATTTAAGAGTTCTGTGAGAGAGGACGAACATAAATGAGTGTGAGAAATTGAGCTTTAGTTAATTTGCACTAGAAAAGTGCGATGAATTGGTAAAGAGTGTTAAAAGGATATATTCGAAAATGAAATCCTGGCGCTTACTCAATTTCTCTTGTATATCTGAAGGCTCTCTTCGTCTGAAAACCTGTACGGGTACTCACCGTTTCCACTGAACTGCCTCAAGTTGTTGTGTGCTAAAGTCGATCACACTGGTTGGCTATGACTGCGACGACCTCGCCAAGTATATTGTTATAGTGCGCGCTGCTGAGTGTACTACTTGCTGCGCGTTACGGTGGAAATTCTGCGCGCAAAAGTATACTTTAAAATTGTGCTGAAGTTTTATTGGAGCCTTGTGCTACGGTGGGGGTACTTTTAATACACAAAGATATTATGTGCAAAAATTTCACATAAAATTAAAAGAATTTATGAAAATAAATTGAAAAGCCATAAAATTGCGGTTTATTAAAAAAAGAAGATCAAGTTATACAAGTTTATTAGCAAAAATTGATATTTACTCGCATAAGGTGCGCCCTGATAAATTGGTATAAAAAAACGAACGAAACAAAGCATACGTTTGTGGAGAAACATATTAATGGCAAAAATTGTGAAAATAAAATACGTAGGCTCTTATTAAAAATGAAAGCTGCAATCGGATTAAGAGTCTACATTTAAAATATACCATAATACAAGAATATAAAAAGAACAAAAAATAAACGTTAAAGAATAATTCGCTGTAAGATTAAGAAATTTCATGAAAACTACTAATATAATAAAATATGTATATCTTGCGAAAAAAAATGTAAATTTCGAAAAAAAGCAAATAGTATCGTACAAAAATTTAGTAAATAAAAATTTTTAATTTAAAAACTGTGAATTATTAAAAAAAAAATAAACATAGGAGAAAAAAATTATATTGTTCAAAATTACGATTTAAATAAATTGTTAGATAGTATCACATAATGATATGAAAATTGAAATTTGAAAGTGAAATTCTGAAGATTTATAAAAATAATTAATTCATGAAGATTAAATTTGCTTTGGCGACTTTAAAGCTGTCAAAGTTTCGGTAAATAGCATGAAACAGCATCGAATTTTAAACTCTTTTTAAATAATTAATACGATTTTTGTAAGAATTGTGGGATCAGGAGCATAATATCGTGAAAGGATCACTAATGAATCGAGTTTTTGAAAACAATTTAAGTAAACAAAGTTAAGAAAGCGTTTTTTACTCCTATTGCTATTTTTTAAAGTTATGTGTTTTCATCCGTATTGGTAGAAAGCTTTAGTTTTTGGATTGTCACTATAGTTGATTTCTTTGCTTGCTTTTATCAGCAAATTTTAGTTTTTAATCCCAAAACTAGAATTAAAAATTAATAAAATATAAATCGTTTGATAGCGTTGTCGACTATTCCTCTAGAGTATTGAAAATTACGGCTTTATGGGAGCTCTAGTACAAAGTGGTACGAAGTGCCAGAGTGTGCGAAAAATTTTAATTCAAAAACAATATTTTTTTTAATTTTTGATATTTGATCATTGGGATTTTTTCAATGCGTTTAGGATTAAACATATAAATTTAATTTGTTTTGTCCGGTGCTTGGTCTTAGATATTTGAAAATTATTTTTAAATTAGATTATCGTGTTTTAAAATTAAAAAAAAAAAAACAAATTTAAATGTTAATTCAATTATTTTTTTAATACATTTTTCGGAAGTGTGGTTATATTTTTTTCGGTCTCATAAGATACACCTTTATATAACTTGGATTATGTTTTTAAGGCAGACACGGAGAAAACTCTTTTTTCCAACTATACACGACAGGTCTGTCATATGTAAATACATAGAAAGAAAATAATTTAATATTAAATTAATCACCGAAATTTAGAGTAGATTGAATATAAAGCTTAAAAAAAATGTTCAAGTAGAATCTTATTGTTTTCGTGTAAAGGAATAGCTTTAAAATAGAAAAATTTGTCTCAGTCAGGCTGAATAATGGTATACCTATATATAAAACAACACAAACCCACAGACTTTAGAAATTTTTGGCAGCTAAACACTGAAAGTTAAATGTAGTCTGAGCTGTAAATGTATAGTTTAATAAGTTTTCTGTGAAATAAAATAGCTTGTTACGACTTATTTCTCAAACAAAAAATTAAAAAATCTAAATTAATAAATTTTTTAACAACAAATTTCTATTTCTAGCATCTCAAAATGATTTTTAGATAACAAAATTATTAAGTAAAATTTCATAAACATGCCATCAATTAGTAAAAATAAGAAAAAGCCTGTAGTGAAAAATAAAAAAATGTGGACTTTGCCAAAAATGTGAAATTTGAAATGCGATAAAAAGCAGAAGACACCGTGGGTTGTTGCGAATGTAGAACTTTTATAAGTACTGAAAAAGAGAAATAGCAAACAAACAAATCGAAAGTTGAGTAGTGCAGAGAACCAGCGTAAGTGAAATATATATTGAAAATAAATCGAGAATTAATTTTAAAAAAAGAAGAAAAAAAGTAAATAAATAAAATAAGAAAAGTGTAAAACTTTGCGGTTGAATGAAAAATTACTGCCACTATAAACACATAATTGGACTCAAAATTAGCAGCTCCGCTGAAAGAGTTCACAAGCAAATAACTGAAGATGTAATTAACCTGAAAGAGCTGCACGCACACGTAGCACAAGTCATTATAATAAAAGTAAGCAACACCGTAAAGGCGTGGAGCAGTAAAGAAATTTCAGTCAAACAATGCGCAACAACATGGCAAAGCCTGCGAAAAGAGTAATTAAATGGAAATGAAGCAGGAAAAGTAAACTGGAACTGTGAACTGAGGTATTTGATAAAAATCTGTAGCATTAAATGCCTAACTGCGAAAAGGTGGTCAAGCTAAAAAACCTAAAAAAAAAATAAAATAAACGAAAATAACTGCAGTTGTTACGCGACATTGCCGTTGGCGCTGGCGTATACGCAACCACAGGCAAATTATGCGGCGCTAGCTAGCGGACTGCTAATGACAACCCTCGCCAGCAAACTTGTATAACACCAACAACAACTAACATTATATGTAAAGCTTGACTGCGTGTTGTTGCCTTTGCGCTTGTTTTTGTTTGTTTATTAATTTTATTGTTGTAGCTTAAAAACGTTTTGACTTGGCACGCACATACCGCTGACTGCGTGCGGCAAAGACAATTGCCAGTCGCGTCTGTGGTGGTCGGAAGACTAGCTCACGCAAGTAGTGACTGAAAGCAAAAGAAACGTTTAGTTGTGTTTTAGTTTCATACAACTTTTCCTTTTATATACAATATTTTTTTAGTTCTTCTGTTATCTTTTCATATGACGCACACTTTGAAGCGTAAAGCATAACGCACGCCGGCAAGGCATGAAAAAAAGTAGCAAAAAAAAAAAAACATAGAACAATATGTCAATAAGCACGCACTTAGTAACGAAAATAATACCGTGAAAAGATAAAAATACAAAAATATTTAACAGTGGACGAAATAGCTGTGGATATATGCCACGAAGGACGCGCACAAAGAAACAGCGAATGCATGTGTATGACATATTTTTAGCTAGCTAGTCAAACAGTTTAACTGTAGCGTTAGATGCTTTGCTGAGACGAAGGCCACTAACGCTTGCAGTGACAAACGGAAAGCAAGATAATACTCTATCGAGCACTACAAGCATTTGCCAGCGAGTACCAAGCAAACCAATCAGTTATCCTGCCATTAAAATAAAGCACGTGCAACAAACATACGTAGTAACGCGCGGAAATCATAAAAACGGAGAAAAAACCAAGAAGCACCAATATTAATACTAACACAACAGCTGAAGATTGGCAAATACTTCCTATTTTTACTGTGACATAAGCACAAATAGGAAAGCCATATAGCGTTGTCAAAGTACTTTTTCCATAGTATGACGCGCGGCAATATATTGACGCTGGCGACAGTATCGCGAGGGCCTTGCGGCATAATAGAAAAGTAATGCTATATATATCCCACAGAAATGAATAGATAAAATTGTGCTAAATATTCATAAGCACAGCAGAGCGAGTGCATAAAGCAGACAGCGTCAGGGCACCAAAAGGAAGGATATAAAAATAGCAAACGGAAGCTGCCAGCGTCACCGCTGCAGAATATAGACAAAACAAAAAACAAAAAAAAAAACACATACGAGACAACAACAAGACTTGCACATCGACATCATCAATAAAGCTAACTAATACTTGAGTAATAAAGAAACAAAAACAAAAAGGCAACAGCAAGGCAAGTGGAGCAGCAAGAAATATTATAAAAATTCATAATCAAAGTTATAAAATACACAACGCCCACAGCAGCAGTAACAAACAACATCAACTACAGCAACAAACGCCTATCACAACAATTCATCCATCATCGGCCAGTGTGCGCGCTTGTATGTGTGTGTGTGAGTAATATGCTGTAACTAGTAAGCTCCTCCTCCCTCCATCCCGACATCACAAGCTAACGTCGCCATCATCCACAGCTTTAACTTTATTAATACAAGCAATTGCCATTTCATTCCGTTAGAACGGCAATATCGGGCCCCACGTTATTGGTTATATTGGTAAATATAGCGTCGTAATACTTCGATTCGCATCAATATGGCCTTTAGCAGCAGTAGCAGTAGTAGCGGTAGTCGGTACGGTGTCAACAGTGGCGGCGCTTATGGCGCTGGCAGCATATCAACGTGGGATAGATGCACAACAGTGTTGCTATTGCCACGGGCACGTCTCATCACCCTGTGGCTGGCATTCAATTTAGCGTTGATCGTACAGGAGCCAATGAAGAAAATCGCCTCAGTTGATGCAGCGTAAGTACTCACACATATTTATAACCACATACATGTATAATAAAAATTATATATATATATATATTCACCAACATTTATGCAGCTACTCTTTTATGGGTATTTCTTTTACACTGCTATATGTGTGCATTTAAATAATTTAATAAGCGTTTATGGGCAAACTACTACTTAGCATTTATAGCATAATTAACTCCCTGCTGCATATGGGTCATGTTTAATTTTGTTATGCAATTTTCTAGGAGAATAACGTAGACTTAATAATGTAGAAGCTAACCACGCTCTGCGTAAATACAGATTTTGCAATGAAATCATAAAAAGTATGATTATACATTTGATGTTAATACAGCTTAAAGAGCGATTTAAAAATATTAAGTCATATTGTTTTAATCAACAACTAATACTATTATATTTAGTGTTCTGAATTGAAAAATATTTATATGTTTTGCAACAAGCGAGAAAAAATCGTAGATATGTATCGTTTTATCAACTTCATCCCGGAAAGTAAAAATCCTTCAGGAAAATAACTTTTATTTACAATGATATTCTAGTTTAAATATGTAAGAAAAGTATATTTGCTTCTTGTGATATCAAACATCAGAAAAATATTATTTATAAATGTAACTCTAAAACTTTGCTATTGAAATTTTATTCCACAAATGAACAGTTTTCGTTTTTAACAAATAATTACACTTCATTTTATTTTTCATATTCAATTTTGAATATAGAATCATGGGAGTATGACGATTCATGTTCATGTTCAGACTTATACCTTTGGAGCTATTTTAGCAATAGCAAAATATCCATCAGTGTCTGGCAAAAATTTCCTGCCAGAAATTTTAACGGCTTTCCAGGGAAATTATTGTTTACGCATAAGTCTTTCAACGACCGACCAGAAGCCTCAAGTGCACCGTTCTTTCGACAGTTGGATGTTCTTAACTGGAATGAACGCGGATTTAAATTTGTTGAAGAAAGTCAGCTCGGCTACATTCTCGAAATTATTTGGGGGATAATTTCTACCACTGTCATAACAACTCAAACCTCACGTCAGTCGGTTGCTTGTTTATTTAATGAACTTGAAATTGGTCTACAATTATATCAATAATGCCTTTATCTAGAGTTGGAACATTACATCTTTACAAACGCTCGATACTTCCTTTAATAAAGGAACACTTGTAGTTAGAAAGGGTCGAATTGTAGCTCGTGTTTCATCAGCGTTGCCAAATTTTTTTTCTGCTGTTGCTCGCCCACTTGCTATGATGTCAAATGCCAACTTGTTTCGTCTATTTATTAACATTAGCACTAAATAGTAGTGAGTGTTCATATTATATCACTGCACTTCAAATATTTCCGCTAACATAAGATTTTTATATAAACTATAAATAGATGAAGAAGACAGACTGTTATACATTTATACACTGAAGAGGGTATATTAAGTTTGTCAAGAAGTTTGTAACACTGAGAAGGAAACATTGAGGACTCTATAAAGGATATACTCCTATATGAGTTAGAAGCGTGATGATCTGAGTTAGTTTCGCAACGTTCGTTTGCCTATACCATATGCAAACTAGTCCTTCAGTTTTTGAGATATAGATCTGAGATTATTTTCACATTTTTTCTCCTTTTATACTAAAAGAAATGCACATGTGAAGGGTGCTATAGCTTCGGTGCAGCCGAAGTTAACGCTTATTCTTGTTCAACTAAAGTTTGCTTAGAATTTGGCTTAGATACACACAAGCAACGGTAGAAATATAAATTTCTTAGATTAATCTAGGCAAATCCATTTGATCTTTATTTTAAGAGTCCGATTCTAAATTAGTATTTATAATGAAATCTAAATTATTTATTAACTTTTTTCGACTAATAGTGTTTTACTACTTGTATCACCGATATTGCAAAACATGCCAACGTGAATATGAATATATGTTATACTAAGCATATGTGGCACATACTGCCGACGTTATGCCGACATGGTGCCAGTCAACGACAGCGTCAAAAGCGTGCCAAACGCAATTATTGTTATTATAGCAGCGCTTCATTATACCAGTATAGTATTTCTTTATTTTTGTTCTTTCGTTATCATTCGTCCTTTCTTGTTGATAATAAACAAGCATTGCCGCAGTTGTCACATTAGAACACATTTACAACCATCAATTAACTTAACAACTTTACAAAGTGTTAGTAACAAATAAAAAGTATACAGCGAGTGATGACGTCATTAAAAGTGATAATGAAAGTTTTAATGGAAGATTCAATATGTGAAATTATAAATAAAATGTGGATGAATATGAAGAATGAACTTTGGATGAACTTTATTTGGTGTAGTGGTTTTATAATTATTATTGTAGTTCGCCGATTAAAGGATTTGTTTTGTGACTGATTGATTAAATATCACATGCTTATTTATCACATGCGAGTACCCAAATTGGCAGCATTTTTTAAAATAAGTTTTTAATAATTTAAATTTAAATTTATTTATAAAAAAGTTTTCAATATTTGTGAAATAAATTTAATTTTAATAAAAATTCCTAACCAAAAATTTTACACCAGGTTTTGAACACTAATTAATTACTTACGCTATTTCCTATCCTCCCCATTAACAAACCAATAGTAAAACACGTGCAATATAGCCGTATAAATCCGCCATGTATTTACTATAAATATGTCATCTTAAATAATACAAAATAACGGAAAAGTCACGCTGTTAACATTGTTATACATTTTTGTTTTTAGTGCTTAGTTGTTACTAGGCTTTCTGATGTTTTGACATATGGCATACATTTATTGTATCATAAGTTTTGCTAATTAATGAATCGCAATGGTCAAATAAAGTAATTGTGTAAATAAAGGCTTCTAATTAACTTAACAAATTTTTTGTGTTTTACATCATTAACATCGAAAAATAGTCCATTAATTATTATTATTAGTCTTTGTGCTGGATACACATAAAGCACAAGCTCCAGTCTTATTTGACTATTTGCATAATCGAATTTGCTATACAACTCGCAAAAATTCCTCTGCTGATAGTAGTCGTTGGTTCGGTTGCCTGTTTTCTATCGAGTTGTTTAAAGACATTTGTTCATGGGTAGGCCCCGCTACTCCAAATGTTTCCTAATGAGTATAAGTTGTTTTTGATTTGCCATTTCTCTGCTCGCTTCTTTCAAAAAATTTCATATAAATGCAACAAAAAAGTTGTGTAGTTGTATTCGTGCAAGATAGTATGTGGATACCTCATTAAAGTAGTATATACGTTATCTTTAATGCTACTAATTTTGGGTTGCATATCTTAGCTGTGTTTTACTACTGTGAATGGTACAAATGTCAAATGAAAATACAAATTCTGTTTTTCGTGTATTCTTAAAACAAAAGCTCTAAAATCAGTTATACTTGTAGTAATTTATTGAAAACCAAAATGAAGAGTTACAGCAACGTTTTTTAATGCGAAAAAAGACATGTTAAGGCAGGGTTGCCCCACAAGTGCTGCCCGTTTGTTTAAGCATCTGGTATAGCTTATAAGATGCCCTGAAGAGTAACGTTTGGCGAATCGGAGATAGCTATTGTAAAGATTCCAATAAATCTGTATTTCGCATGCGGCTATGAGTTGTTTTTGAATTTTCGATTAGTATTAAAATGCAGAAAATAATTGCAGTGAAAACTCTGTGAAATATTTGTCGAAGTCCTCAATGTTCATGCTCCGATTAAATAAAAGTTAATTTTCAGCATTTTAGTTGAGCTTACAATTATTGATCAAGGAGCTTTCGATTAAATATATTGAATAATAAAGTAAATACTATTATTTTATTTTTGACGTCTCGACTCTAGAGTAACGTATTTGTTGTAATGGCATGCAATATTTCGATACCTACTTAGGCATCTAGGGAATAAGGTGAGTGGGGCACTAGCTCTTAACGTAATTCCTTCAAGTTTGCGGTCGTACCACGAGTTTTATGAGTACTTCTTGTAGTCTTTCTGAATGGGGTGCATTAATTGTGCTGCTACTGCTATGACGAATTTCAGCAAACATTTAATTAGATGTTTGCCGTAACACTAATCAAAAACATTTCAAAAATTCGACGTGCCTCGAACTCTTTTCACGTTCATATTCAGACTTGTTCCCCAATTAATTATGACCGATTTTAACTAAATTGTATACGTAATATTTCGTTTTCGTTTTCGTTTTTTCTTGTTTGTAGTAGACTTAATATAAGTTAAGTACTAATGACTAGAAATCAGTCCATACCATATGTCTAACACATAGCAAACTGCAGTTCGGTATTTAAAATGGACCACAGGAAAACGATCTAAAAAAACATACTGCTCATATCATAAATGGCAAAATAATTGACAATAAATTGTGTTGGACATCTTAAAAAACGTTACATGCCCTTGATTCCTGAAATTGCTAGCGTATCAAAATTTTTAGCGATTTCAGTCTTTATTTACTGTTTTCTTTTTTGTTTTGTTGGAGTTCGGCATAAATATTAAAAAACTTTTTTCGTAAAAATATTTTCACTTGCCAATAATTCGAAATAAATTCATAGGGCACACCGTGTGTGAAATTTTGAAAAAAAATATTTTTTTTTTTTTGATATTTCCATATTTTATACCAAGAGATAATTTTTTTAGTTTTCATTCACGGTGAAGGCCGGAATCACTGCAGAAGCTAAGATCTCGTCGGAGATCCCGTGTAATTTGAAAAATATTTAATTATTTTCTTTAAAACTTTTACTGGGGTTCTTAAAATATACCATTGTTTAGTAATTTTTTTTTTAAGTTTTCAAAAATTGCCACTAAGAGTGTCCATTAAAAAAATCTCTTATAATAAGCGAAAGTATTAGCTTATTTTAGGTGTTGTAGTTTAATGTAAAAAAGTGTGAATCAGAAAAAAATAAAACACAATTTTTTTTTTCGCCTCAAAATATATATATATATAGGTATACTAGTCTTGTTGCTAGCAATTATGGTTCTGCTTTACGCAACAACATGTGTAGCAATTGATTCCAGTG